CAGCGCACCATCACCTTGACTCAGTCACACATGGTGCACCAGGTCCTTCAGCGCTTCCGCTTCACGTACTCCTCGCCTCAGCCCACTCCTCTGCCTACCGGTCACTCGCTCTCAGCTCTGCCTTCGGATGAGTCCGTAGAGCCGAGTGGCCCGTATCCAGAGCTTGTGGGCTGCCTCATGTACCTGATGACCTGCACTTGACCTGACCTAGCCTACCCTCTTAGCATCCTAGCACGCTATGTCGCTCCTGGCCGTCACCGGAAGGAGCACATGGATGCCGCTAAGAGGGTGTTGCGCTACTTGTGCAGTACGTCGGGCATGGGGCTTGTGCTTGGAGGACGGCGCGACGTTGTCCTCACTGGACACTCAGACGCTTCTTGGGCTGACGACCAGGCTACTCAGCGGTCGTCTCAGGGTTACACCTTCAGCCTTGGCTCTGGCTCAGTTTCTTGGCGTTCTACACGCTCTTCCTCTGTTCTCAGCTCCAGTTGTGAGGCTGAGATCTACGCCACAGCCATGGCTGCCCAGGAGCTTCGCTGGCTCACCTACCTGCTGACCGACCTGGGAGAGCGGCCTCGTTCTCCTCCAGTGCTGTACGTCGACAACAAGGCAGCCATTGCCTTGTGTCAGGAGCACAGACTGGAGCACAGAACGAAGCACATCGCTCTGCGCTACTTCCTTGCTCGAGAGCTGCAGCAGCGTGGTCAGCTTCGTCTTGCGTACGTGGCCACTCGGGCCAACACTGCTGACGTGTTCACCAAGGCGCTTCAGCCTTGTGACCATCAGCGTTTCTGTACTGTTCTAGGCCTTGTGCCTACTCTCCCTCACTTGCTCACTTCTTGACTCTGCTTGTACTGTGATCTCTATATATATACCTGCATGCTTACCCTTGCTAGGTTGTGATCACTGTACCTCTTGTTCTATTATCAAACTGCATGTGTACTGGTCTTGTGACCACTTGCTTGTGCTCGGAATTTGTGTGGTATCCTTGAGATCCACCCTGAGCTTGTTTTGCTTTGCTTTGACTGGTCCTGTGACCCCTTGTTATCCCCCACTTAGCCTATGGGGGTGTGTCAAACATTGTATGTGTTATACTTGTGTAGGCTATTGTGGGTTAGCCTCTAGGGGGTACAGAATTTTAGGTTTGTCATACTTGTACTCTCATTCTCTTCCTAGTCAATCATTCTCGTTCACTCTAGGTTTCTAACAATGTTGTGTACAGGCCTATCCTTGCACAGTATCAGGCCAGCAAATGCACAAACAAGCGCCACGTGCTGCGTAGTTGTGCGAACGAGGTCAAACCAGTTCCTATGGCTAGGAAATAGGATGTACTAGGGAACTGTGTGAAGAAATAGTGGTAAAAACAACACCCGGACGTTGAAACGGTGACATGTTGCGCACAGGCCTATCCTTGCACAGTATCAGGCCAGCAAATGCACAAACAAGCGCCACGTGCTGCGTAGTTGTGCGAACGAGGTCAAACCAGTTCCTATGGCTAGGAAATAGGATGTACTATGGAACTGTGTGAAGAAATAGAGGTAAAAACAACACCCGGATGTTGAAACGGTGACATGTTGCGCACAGGCCTATCCTTGCACAGTATCAGGCCAGCAAATGCACAAACAAGCGCCACGTGCTGCGTAGTTGTGCGAACGAGGTCAAACCAGTTCCTATGGCTAGTAAATAGGATGTAATAGGGAACTGTGTGAAGAAATAGAGGTAAAAACAACACCCGGACGTTAAAACGGTGACATGTTGCGCACAGGCCTATCCTTGCACAGTATCAGGCCAGCAAATGCACAAACAAGCGCCACGTGGTGCGTAGTTGTGCGAACGAGCTCAAACCAGTTCCTATGGCTAGGAAATAGGATGTACTAGGGAACTGTGTGAAGAAATAGAGGTAAAAACAACACCCAGACGTTGAAACAATGACATGTTGCGCACAAGCCTATCCGTTCACAGTTTCAGGCCAGCAGATGCACAAACATGCGTCACGTGCTGCGTAGTTTTGCGAACGAGGTCAAACCAGTTCCTATGGCTGGGTAATATGATGTAGTAAGAAACTATGTGAAGAAATATTGGTAAAAAAAACATCCAGACGTTGGCGAGCTGACATGTTGCGCACATGCCTATCCTTGCACAGATTCAGGCCAGCAAACGCACAAACATGCGCCACGAGCTGCGTAGTTGTGCTAACGAGATGAAATCAGTTCCTATGGCTAGGGAATAGGATGTAGTAGAGAACTGTGTGAAGAAATAGTGGTAAAAAAGGCATTCAGACGTTGGCGCAGTGACATGTTGCGCACAGGCCTATCCTTGCACAGATTCAGGCCAGCAAACGCACAAACAAACGCACAAACGTTGCCTGATGTAGTCAATTTTGTCATTTTTATTGCAATCATTCTATAATGCAACCTTTGCCTAGTGGAAACTCTTGCCAAGTTCTCTCGTGAATGCGCAAGTGCTAAGGAACTAAGCAAAGCTACGACCACTGATAGAGTTCGTGCCAACACCCCGTACTCTAGCTCATGACTATTGTAGAGTGATGAACGAGCGCGATGTCGCCTGAATCTCGCTCAATACCGCGCGAATGAGCAGGCAAATACGAATCGAGTCTACGCGAACAACGGGCACACCTACGCCACACATTAAGACGAAGCCGCCGCTGCAACTCTGGAGCAGGAAGACGTCAGTAAGTTACCCGTCATCGGAGGAGACAATATCGACGATGACGAGGACATCATCGACTCACCTCCAGCACCTGCGGCCAACTCTCACAATAGTGATCACTCTCATAACCGTGCCTATCCCCTTGACCAGCTCCCGTTGTTTTAGTTATCTCCGCATCGACAACGTCGTCGTCGCTATCGTAACAGCTACGATAAAGACACAGACACACTGTTTAATGCAGCATTTGCTTGCTGCTAGGGGTCAGTACATAATCTTACTTCTTGCATATATATTCGACAAGATTGATTTGTTTGTTCATAGATATGTCCACCCTACGTGCTTGTGATCACAACTATATATATATATATATATGTAAATTGTGGCATAGGGTACAATTAATGACCAGTTTGAATATTGTATATTGTACAAATATTGAAAATACCTTATGGACCTCCCGAAGCGTAGGCATTTTCTTGCCTGTGATCCAATATGGCCTTTATTTGTTACAATTCGTGAAAGTTTATTTCCTTCAATTTTGACTCTTGAAAATGTGTCTCGGAAGAAGTTAGGCTTGTATGTGGTCTTTTTCGGCTCGTATAGTGTGTACTGTTGGTACCCTAAACTGCCATGCTGTAACAAAACCCGTACGTGCCGAGCTGGCAGCAGCACAGCACGCCAGTGTGATTGACGAGCAGCTCGCTGCTGTTCGCCCAAAATGTTTTTTTTTTCTGGCCAATCGTTGCTGAAGCAGGTGACAGCGCTGCTGATTGTTATCTTCAATCAGCCGCAAACACAAAGCCAGGTGAGCGAGGACTCTTTTGCCGAGGCTGAGCCACGTTGAGTCAGCACTTGCGACGCCACGCTGGCGCTTGCCTCGCTGGAACGCGAGTTGGCGATTTTGTCGCCAGGCTTGCACTGGCGAGGTGGGTGAGGTTCACAGGCGAGCGAGGTGGGTGGTGTACCTGCTTGTTCGTCTTGCTTCTTTCTGCGCGCGCAATGCTCCGAGCCTTCGTTATATCTGATCGACAAGCTGTTAGTGGAAAAATCACTTGTATTTTCTTTATGTCCCCGCAGCCGCTTCTCTTTTTGGTTCGTCATCACCTCTGCCCCCCCAGCCGTTTCTCTTTTTGGTTCGTCATCACCGCTGTCTCCGCAGCTGCTAAGTCCCAAGCTTCTTCAGACGCCGAGTCGAAGTGTTTGTTTTTTGTTTTGTTTGTTTTTTTTTTTTTGCTTTTTTTTTTCCCAGGTAAGTTTCATAACTCCGCATTTCGTTTGGCGCGTCCAGCGCCTTTTGCAAAGCCCAGCTCCCAATATCTGCGCTAGTCTCTCACCACGATGTATCTGCTTTGACTCTTTCGTAGCATTCATTTCGTTCTTGTTTGTTCAGTTTTGCCCTTGCTCGATCTCTAGCGAGTATTGGTCGGATTGAGTACTTGCTCAGTCCCGCGCGACCCTATGCCTCTCCCCTCGCGCCCCATTTTAGAATCACCGAGCCTCGCAACCAAGCATGACGTACTGCAGATCGACTCACACTGCGCGGCGCCGCTGCGGAGCCAGTATGTGAGACGGAACTCCCCTATTTTCTCTGGACTTTCGAATTGTTGCCTTTTTTTCCTATTCGGCTCATCCTGTTTACCTGTTTCTCTGTTGTTTCAGACGAGTTGCAGGAAATATTCCTGTTTACAGGTAAACAAGCTCTCATTCTGCGAATGGGCAATATTAATATTATCTCAAAATATGAATGATTGGGTGTAAATCTCATATATGCAAATAATCGGTAATTAAACCGTGCGGTTCTCAATGGCCATATTTTATTTAAAAGCATATGGTTGCGAATCCGATATCGAAATATGTATTAACAAGTACAGACTCCAACCAATACAATTGCGACACAAGGGCATCCCTAAAAGTTGGAAACCGAGCCAGCAGCCCGTAGGTGGCACAACACTGAACGGCAACCCTTCCAGCGTGGAACGAGTTGCCCTGTCATGCGTCGAAAATGTATCTGACAGAAATTCAATCTCACCCAATCACCAATCGCCATCACACCAACTTCCAGGTAACCATAAATTTCGCATAGCAGCATCGAGTCAATCAGCACCCGAGCTACGATTTCGCCTCGATCTGCAGAGCAAATAAGAACAAACCCAACATTCTCGCCAACCAATGGACATCTCCTACCCTAACATTCAAACCTACGGCACAGCAACTATCACGCAGGTTGACGTTCGGAACCAACTTTCCAACGTAGGTCTTTTTGAACCTGCGGAAATGCTGCGCAGAGGCATCTTCAACGCAGGTGCTGAAACCGAACATTTTTGGGATGCACTCTAAAAAGGAGTGGACCCAATCATGTTCCCCTGGGGCGAGTAATCACACACCCACATGCCACCCCCATCAGGGCACTGCGCCGACGCACACCCCACATGGGTCGTTCCCGCCCACACCACCTGCGTGTAATGCCCGCACATCCTCCCCTCCGCACACCCCTCGGGCACCGGGCTGGGAGTCCAATCCGCCTTCTCATCCACCCACGCCTGCACCGCCATGCGATCCTCCTCAGGGGTCAGCCCGGCCGGCGCGCGCCAGTACAGGTTCTGCCCGAGCCCCTCCGTGCCGCCGTGCTGCAGAGGGCACCCCGCGGACGCGAGCTGGTCCGCCCACTCCTGCGCTGCTGCTGCCACGGCCTCGTCCCATGCCAGGTCCGCCACCCCCACCTCCCGCCGCGCTGCGTTGTGCACCTCCAGGATCGCGCCAATGTCAATCCCCCCTCCTCCTCCTCCGCCGCCGCCGCCGCCGCCGCCGCTGCTGCCGTTGTCAACGCCGTTGTCGCCGCTGCCATTATCCCCGTTGTTGTCACCATCGCAATCGCCGCCCTCAGCTTGTGCAAATGCAAGGGATTCCAGCTGTTCACTTCCGTAGTTCACACCACGGTAGGCACCTTGTGTCTCGCTCCTGTGAATGGCCACATCCCTGGCTGTCGCCATGTAAAACTCCGGTGCCTTGCCGAGCTCACTCCCGTGGCTCATACCGCGGCTCTCGCCTTGCATCCCACTCCTGTGAATGGCCACATCGCTGCGCGTTGCCATGCAAAACTACTGTGCCTTGTGGAACCCAGTGTTGCTGAAGCGAGACAAGTGGGATGAAGCTCTCTTGACGGTGCCATGAGTCACGCCCCTTCGCTGTCCCTTGCTGCCACCGTTCATGCGCGTGCTGCTGCTCTCCCCATGCCAGTTCACTGCATCGTTGTCATCGTCCTTCTCATTCTCATTCTCCCTGTCGCCTTCCCTGTCGTTGTCATTCTTCCTGTCGCCGTCCCCGTCGTTGTCGTTCTCCTTATCGCCATCATTGTCGTTCTCCTTGTCGTTCTCTCTGTCATTACCGCCATCATTGTCATCAGCAGCCGCCACATTCCTCCACGCCTCGCCCTCCTCCGCTTGCATCGGCGCCACCGCCGCCGCCGTCGCCTTTGCTGGTCCCGGGTGAATAATCGCCACGTCTTCAGCCGTCGCCATATGAGGACGCGCGGCGCGCTGGGCATTCGTCCCAACAGGACGATTGTCCGATGCCGTTTTCAGGGCGTGGATCGCCACATCATCAGCTGTCGCCATGTGAGGGCGCACGGGTTTGTTGCTCGCTCCCATCATCGCAGCGGCAAGCTGATTCTCGACGCTGTGACTCGCAGTCGCCGTCATCAGGGTGTGGATCGCCACGTCCTCAGCTGTCGCCATGTGAGGACGCACGTTGGGTTTGCGCAATTGTGCCGCGTTCGACCCAGCAGGACGATTGTTCGATGCCGTCTTCAGGGTGTGGATCGCCACATCCTCAGCCGTTGCCATGTGAGGCGACGCGGCCATGTGAGGCGGCGCGGCCATGTGAGGACGCGCGGCGTGCTGTGCGTTCGGCGCAGCAGAATCATCTTTCGACTCCGAGTCGGCAGTTTCATTTCCCAATGCCGTCTTGGAGTCACCATGACTTTTCTTGGTATCATGGATCGCCACGTCGCTGGCAGTTGCCTTGTGAAACGCCACACCGGGTTTGTTCGTATTAGGTGTGTCGCTCGCGCGCATCATCTCAGCAGCAGGCTGTTTGTGAGCTGCGTCCTGGCCTGCCGCGCCCTTGTTTGTCGCGCCCTTGCCTGCCGCGCCCTTCTTCGCCGCGTCCTTACCCGCTGCGCTAGCGTCCGTTGCGCCCTTGCCTGCGGCGCCCTTGTTTGTTGCGCTCTTGTCTGCTGCGCCCTTCTTTGCCGCGGCCTTAGCAGCTGCACTAGCGTCCGTTGCGCCCTTGACTTCCGCGACCTTTCCCGCCGCGCCCTTGCCTTCCGCGACCTTTCCCAGCGCGCCCTTGCCTTCCGCGACCTTGCCCGGCGCTCCCTTGACTTCCGCGAACCTTGCTCGGCGCGCCTTGACTTCCGCTTCCTTGCCCGGCGCGCCCTTGACTTCCTCGACCTTGCCCGGTGCGTTCTTGCCTGATGCACCCGTATTCACCGCGGCCTTGCCCGCTGCGGTAGCTCCCGCTCCGCCCTTGCCTGCAGCGCCCTTGCCCGTTGCAACCTTGCCTGCTGCGCCCTTTCCCACCGCGCCCTTGCCCGCAGAGCCCGCACCCACGCCCTTCAAGGGCGCATCTTTCCCTGCCGCGCCAATATCGTCAACGTGATGAGCAGGAGCACGCGGGGGGAGAGTTGAAGAGGACTTCTCTTCAGTGTTTGAAACACTTGACGTGTTATAGGCAGGCGCGGTCAACCCGCCTGATTCAGAATCATTACTTGCAGCAGCGACGACCCTCGGAGTCACTAGAGCGGTGGTAACGGTTGCGTCGCTGCCATGTGCGGTTTTAGTAGGCGGAGTGGGTTTAGCGAGAAGACCACGGCGGCCCGGCTGGGTTGATGGCGACAGGTGCGTTGAGTAGGAGCCGATAAAGAGAAGGAGAAGAACGATGGGTATCAGCCTCGTATTCTCCATGACGTTCATTCAACGCAAAATTGGCGTGAGCTTTGGCGCGGTGAATATAGACGCCTGGCTGGTTATGCTGCTGATGCAAGTCGAGCTGAATCTGGAGGAAGCAGGTGTGCGTTTGGTTGCTCGCTAGTGAAGATGAGAAAGCAAGTTCAGGTTTGCTGGATGTGGTTGGAGAGAATTTGCGTTCCAATTTATGTTACCAATCGCATGATCCGCGATTCGGCTGATATCGGCGCGCTGGGATCCCGACATTGCGAAGAAGGCGAAATGCAGCTACGGACCTTGATTCCCGTGAGCGAGACGGGAGAGGGAAATCGGAGCTTTGGTTACGGACTTTGATTACCGTGTGCGAGATTGGGAGGTCCAAAGCGAAACAGGGTTACGGACTGACAAAAAGTAATTGGGAGCCGAGAAGTTACCGATCCGCTAAGGAGATACTACCAATGACTACAGACGTTAGACAAACTTTGCAGTATATCACTCGGCAATGGCTCTCTTGGGATCACGTTAAAAGCAATGGAAATGAGAACATGTACATTATTACGGTATTACAAACAAGGCATATGACTCTACTCAAATGGGTTGCAAGTACGCATACTGCCCTTCTCCCTCAACTAATACTCCCTTTTTCACCCAATTCACTACATAAGGAAAAGTAGGTGGACAAATCTCCAATAGACAGAGCTCGTGCACTGACCCACCCCATCCTACTAAGATGCTGCCTGTCATACCGTAATCCTTCATAAGCTGTTAGCATGGTTCATGTCCGAGATTGATTGTGGTTGCTTGCTTCCATCCACATTTACAAGAGTCCTTCATAAGCTGTTAGTACGGTTCATATCAGAGAACGACTGTTGGTCCTTGCTTCCTTTCGCCTAGCTCTGCTGCACGGAAAACTCTGGAGAATCAACGTGGAAGCAAACTGATTCTCCCTGAATACGCTTGGATCCCTGCCGCGATCCCAATACGGCCCGTCTGGTGGCCTCTAAGCGCGCCGTAGAGGCCATCATTTCCTCGTTATAGTCCTCCTCGTCGCCATCAAGTTGCATGACTTCAAATCTTCGACTGACGATTTCACCAAACATGTTCCTCGTGCAATTAAAACCAGAACTGTACCCGTTAGAAGCAGTATCGGCAGGCGTGACTCCAAAAAATCCGCTGGCTTGATTTAAAGGCTTAGGCTTCAAAGCGCGAAATCTCTCCCCAGTAGCGAAGGAAGCGGCAAACAGGGAGGCGAAAGGCAAGGCGAACAGAGAGGCGATTGGGGACACGAGCAGGGAAGCGAGCGTGGACAGTACGGCAGACGCTGATGAGGCAGCTCCGCGATTCACGGAACCAGTTGAGCAGGACTTGGGGAAGCGTGAGCGTGCGCTGCTGAGGGACGGCGCGGCTTTCACAGCGACAGAGTAATGAGCCATAGCTTTCCGTCGAAGAAGCTTTCCGTCGAAGAAGCTTTTCGTCAAAGGAGCTCTTTGGCGCGCTGCTGATAGTTTGGGACGTAACGGGCCGCTGGCTGGCAGCTGGGAACCAAACTCCGTCTTGAAGTTGCGAGAGGCTTAGGTTAGGTTGCAATCGCTGCGAAGTAAGAAAGATCGCTGCGGAAGCACACTGGTTGGAGGGGACAAGCTACCCTGGCTTATGTACGCGCCGCTCGTGAAGATGCTGACTCAAATGCGATGCGAAGTCTCTCCAATCCATCCCAACAGTTTACCAAAAATGTCCTGAGGCGGAAGACTGGATATTTTGTCAAAACATATGCTTGTTATACATGTGTAGGCTGTAGTAGGGTAGCCAATATGGGGTACAGCCCCTTTTAGGGTTTCATACTTGTACCCAACTCTCTGATAGTTCATTCATTCCTGTCTCTTGATTCTGACATGGTTTCAGAGCAGTAGGTCCGTAGGACCGTTTTTTTCGGGCCCACCTACCGCTACCCCACGACTGTGACTGTGACTGACTGTGCCTGTGACGTGCTGCGCTGCGCGCGCCGTCTGCCTGCTGCCTACTGTCTGGTGACTGTGCGATCTGCTGCTGCTTAGAGTGCGCAGACCTAATTCCTGCGCGCGGCTCGTTTTTTGCCCACCGCGTTGCCCACCCTGCCCGAGTCGCGCCTCGGCAGCCCGCGCGGCTCGCTGATGCTTCGCGCGCCGCGTCTGCAGCCCGCGCGGCGCGTTGCAGCCCCGCGCGTCGCGACAGCTGCCCGCGCTTGTTGACTTTGCTGCTGCCTGTCGTCTAGACTACGCCGCTAGTCTTGTTGCTGAGTCTGAGTCTGTCTGTCCTCCGTCCGTCGGGGGTGAGTGTGCTCTTGGCACGGACGTCCTTGAGGACAGGCAGGAGGACCTTGAGTGTCTTGCAGCCGCTGCGCCTCATCTCGTGTCCATGCTGCTTGCCCCTGAGGGAGACCCGGATGCTCCAGACATCCCGACCCCGCGCTCTTACGCTGAGGCGATCGCGGGTGAGTACTCCTCTCAGTGGTAGACAGCCATGGACACAGAGATGGCATCCTGGAAGTCCACAGGCACCTACGTCGACGAGGTTCCCCCACCTGGGGCGAACATCGTCAGTGGCATGTGGATTTTCAGGGTGAAGCGGCCGCCAGGTTCTCCGCCTGCCTTCAAGGCGCGTTACGTTGCACGAGGTTTCAGTCAGCGAGAGGGAGTAGACTTCTTCCAGACCTTCTCCCCCACCCCGAAGATGACCACTCTTCGGGTGCTGCTGCACGTTGCCGCTCAGCGTGACTACGAGCTTCACTCTCTTGACTTCAGCACAGCCTTCTTACAGGGCAGCCTGCACGAGGAGATCTGGCTGCGCCGCCCACCTGGCTTCACTGTACCATCGTGCACTGAATCGCCTATTCTCAATGCTGTGCTGATTCCCAGAGAGATTGCTCCACATCGTGCGCGTATAGCTAACAACCCCGCCCCGCGTCCTTCTCGATGTAAACTCAACCACCCAATACAACATAATGCATACCATTCTACACCTAAATATAGCGATAGGCACAAATATAATCAGGAGGGGGGAGGGGGGGGGAAAGGGGGAAATGAGGAGGGAAAGGGGGGACGGGGACATGGGATGTAAGTGGAAGATGTAAGGCAGCCATGTCATGACATGGAATGATCCCACCAGGTGCCCAAACGCCCACTCTATTGGTACATTCTTGGCCAAGGCTTTCTGGCAGTAGGAAGGAGAATAATAGAGGGAGAGGGGATAGAACGGCAAGAGATGCATGTGAAATCTGCACGAAGTGAACTCACCGAATTCTCAAACCATCGAGTGGGCACACAAACACGCACATGCACATGCAATGCATGCACACGTGCATACATGCACATGCGCATGTGTCAAAACAACATATATTATCTATCTTTCTAGGCTATGTAGGGGTTATTCTTAGAGGGTACAGAACACTTCTCGACACTCTTGTACCCCCCCCCCCTTACCTAATCCACACTTCTCCTCTCTACTCTAGTCACCTAGTCTAGACTAGATTCTAACATGGTATTCTGAGCAGGTCCCATAGGACCTTTTATTTTTTTCTTAAGGGCCCACCGTTAGCTTGTATCCTGCCCGTTCGTTCTGCCCCGCCCCACGAAATCTCGACCGTCTGTTCGCTAGTGCCGCCCTGCCTAGCGCAATCGCCCTGATCTGCCCTATGCGCGACCCGTACGTGCCCTGCTCGCGCCGCCTACACGCACGCACGTGCCCCGCCCGCGCCGACCGCTCGCGCGCTGCCCGAGCCCTACGCGCCCTCGACCCGCACGCTTCCTGCTCTGCCCGCGCACTGCCTGCACGGCCCGCGCTCTGCCCTGCGCCCGGCCTGCGCCCTGCCCGCGCGCAACCCACGCGCACCCCGCGCGCACCCACGCGCACCCTGCCTGCGCCCTGCTCGTCCGCGCTGCTGAGCGCTGCTGCTGCTGTCACTTATGTGGCTGCTACTGCTGCATGCGCTGCTGCTGCTACTAAGCGCTGCTGCTGCTGCTAAGCGCGCTGCTGCTACTGCTGCTGCTGCTGCTGCTGCTGCTGCTAAGCACTGCTGCTACTGCTCCTGCTCCACGCGCTACTGCAGCTGCGCTCTGCCCTGCCGAGCCCCTACCCGCCAGCGCTGCTGCTGCTGCGCAACTGCTGCCAAACGCGCTGCTGCCGCCTGAGCTGCTGCTGCCGCCTGCGCTGCTGCTGCCACCTGTGCTGCTGCTGCTGCGGTGCTGCTGCCGCCTGAGCTGCTGCTGCCGGCTGCGCTGCTGCTGCCACCTGTGCTGCTGCCACCTGTGCTGCTGCAGCTGCGCTGCTGCTGCCGGCTGCGCTGCTGCTACTGCTCCGCTGCTGCTGCTAGATTGCTGCTGCAGCCTGAGCCGCGCTGCCCTGCCCTGCAGCCCGCGCGCTGCGCTGCCCTGCCCTTAGGTCCGCGCGCTGCCCAGCCCTGCCGAGCCGCACCGCCCAACCCGAGCCGCGCCGCCTTGCAGCATTGCCCAGCCCCACCGAGCCGCCCTGCTGCTGCTGCTACTGCTCAACTGCTGCTGCTGCTTGGCTGCTGCTGCCACCTGTGCTGCTGTTGCTGAGCTACTGCTGCCGCCGGCGCTACTGCTGCCCTGCCGAGCCGCCCTTGCTGCAACTGCTGGCGCTACTGCTGCTACTGCTACCACTACTGCAGTTACTGCGCTCGCCCGTGCCCTGCTGCCCACGCACCCTACTGGCCTCCACAGCCACTCCAACAGTCGCTACTGCTGTTACAGCCACAGCGACCACCGCTACTGCTACAGCTGCAGCTACAGCAGTCGCTACTACCGCCCTTGCGTCGCTGCTACTGACTTAAGGACGCATGAGGTGCTGGTCCTGGGGGTGTTGAGACTGGGGGTGCTGAGACTGGGGGTGCTGCGAGTCCTAGTGGTGGAGGGGCCGTGGGTGCTACTGCTGCAGGTCCTGGTGTTGGACAGCAGCACCCACCTAGTCGACTCGAGACACCGCAACAGCTTCGTGAGTGGGTCGTTCGGCCAGGCCGCTCT